TAGATTGGCTCCCGAGTCAGTTCAATCTACTCACCTGTTTTCATGGAAACAAAAGCTCAAAAGGTAAATGTTGAAAACGGAATATCCTGCTTCTCAGTCATCATTTCTCAACAGAAAAAAAAAAATGCTTGTTTTTGTGCTCTGCTTCTCCTATGAGATACTTTTTATCTGGTAAATGTCAAAGCTTCTTATGAATACTAGCTCATTAGTCCTCAGAATGCTAATGAGTGGTGGCAGCCTACCTCACTTGTGGACAAGAAGAATTTCGCCTCTATCACCAAGGGACTGTTTCCTGGGCCACCTCCTAGCAAAAAGCACACCCACTGCGGTGGAGAGCATCTTCTTCCCTTCTGAGCTAGGCTGTCCGGAATTCAATCCGGCTGGGAAGACGGAGCACATTAAGCAATATAATGAAATATCGCTCACACCGCAGTGACAGCTATGACAAAACTCTACACGAGACAGATACCTGACTACACAAATCGCAATTCCGATCGTACAGTCAGTGCATCAAGCAGCTCAGTGACAGGTACATTGCAGGCTCAGAGGAAAACACACAAGTCCTGATGCACAACTGCGTACACCATGGGGCAAGGCTCAAACAGCAGTGGAGAAATTAACCACCTCCATACGGTGACTTAGACGGAACTAGCTCTTCATTTCAAGCACACCACCAAGCTGAAATTAATATCCAGGCACGTCATTCCTGATAACAAACTAGCAGTGTGCAACAAACGTGTACTTGATAATGGTTTTGACAAGTTCAAGTTTTCATTTATTTCTTCTTTGCGAAGTGACATTCTCTCTGACTTCATTTTCAAGTAATTGTTTTTAACTTTTTCCCCATTGTGTCAAATAAATTTACAGTAGGACATTCCTAAGACAGAAATAAACAATTTTTAGTTTGATAATTTTCTAAACTCTATTTTAGTCACTTCTCATAATGAAATTCACTACCTTTAGTGATTTAACATCAGCCTAAAAAAGGCTATGGTAGATTTCCTGATGAAAAGAACGTGCAAGTGTTTTGTGGTATTTTACATCCTTCTTACACCTTACAGTATTTCCCACCTTTCTACATAGAAAAAGGGGCCGAAGTCCCTGTATCTGGACCCAGGAAGAAGCAGCCAGTGTCTAACCTAGACATGGCCATTCAGAAATACCTGGAGCAACATGCCTGATGGAGGAACCTTCCAGGACAGGCGACCTTTTAAAACATTATTTTCAGAGCTTAACAATGAATTTCTCAAATCTCATAGCCAGCTGTGAAAAACAAACTTCCTTCCTTTCTTTGCTTTGAAGATATTACCTTTTCATTTCATTGTTTCCTTCTTCGGCTCTATGCTGTGTGAGAGAGAACCAGAGTAACTGAGCTTACTTTCTCTGTAAGATTATGTGCCTCGTATATCTTGACCAGAGCCTCTCATCTCCTCCTTCACAAACACGAGCATCCCGACCTTCACAAATTTTCCCTTGTAGGAACTTCTCACGTCTTTGATTATTCTCTTCAGCTTTCCTCTACTCCCTCTAGCTCCTTTCTGAGCGATGTGCAATAATGCTCACCCAGCTCCGGATGAAACTTCATTGCCAATGCACACGGCAGGCTGAGACGTGCTGAAACTGCACTATTGTATCATCTGACGTTAGGCCATTTGACATCTTATTTACTTTTTTGGTAATAGGCACCTAAACAGAAGCTTTAATAAAACAAGATACAATAATGCTCACGCTTTTCTTTTTTTTTTTTTTTTTAATATAAATGGGGGTTTCTATCATTTCCCCATAAGGATGATTTATAGCCATCTTGCCTGTGCGAACTACACAACATCAGCATTTCAAAACCAATTACAGTAAAACTACTCCCCAAGCTGCACCTTAAGCCATAGGTTCCCATAGCAAAGAGCTCAGCAGTAACACCAGTACAGGAGATGGGGGGCCTGCCTTCACCTGCCCCTCTC